AAGATCACCCGGGGCTTGGATTGTTTTTGCATTTTCTTATGTTGAAACTTTGGTTTGTAGATAATTACAGATAAATATAGACTCTCTGTCTCTCCCATGGCACCATCTTACAAGAGTAGAGTACAGTGTCGGAGCCGGGATGGTGTCTTTGATACAACTCGCAGGTCTTGCCCCGGGCTCCCCGATGGACTCTGTGTGTGCCATGCGTGTGTGTTCAGCTGTGTGCAGTTTCTTTTCTTGTGCAAAGCCTTGTGTCTGCACTGCCACAGCCAAGCCACAGACCAGCTGTCCTCAAAGGCCACCTGGCACACTTTCAGAGCCGTATGCAATCCCCTTCCTGCCTCTACCTCCCAGAGCCCCTGCGACCTGCCCCGTCTGGCTCCACTTCCATACTTCCAATTTCAAGAATGGTCCTTGGGTGTGCACCCTCTTCTCACCTGGGGCTGGGCTTCATTCTGAGTCAGAGGTGATGCTCTCGGGCAAGCTGTGGCGCTCGGTGACCAAAGCTAGGCAAGGACTGAGACCTTACGGCTGGGCATGGTGGTGCACGCCTGTAATCCCAGCATTCAGGAGGCTGAGGCAGGAGGACCGTTGGGAGTTCCAGACCAGCCTGGGCTACAAAGTGAGCTCAAGGCCAGTCTGAACTGCATAGTGTTCAAGACCAGCCTGGGCTACAAAGCAAGCTCAAGGCCAGCCTGAACTGCATAGTGAGACTCTGTCTCAAAAACAAAGAAAGAAAGAAACACACACACAAAACAAAACAAAAGGACTGAGGCCTCGACAGGTGTGAGGCAGCAGGGCCGGGCCTCGTTTCCCTTGAGAAGTGACTCTGGGCGTAGCACGGGAGACAGAGGGGTGACCCTCTGCAGCGGCCACTGACTGACCCACCCCAGACTTCTCGCAGCCCTAGAATGGGCTTTTGTTTGTGATGGTTTTTGGTTTTGTGAGACAGGCTCTTGCTTTGTAGCCCAGGCTGGTCTGGAACTTACAGCAGTCCTCCTGCCTCAGCCTCCTGAGTGCTGAGATCACAGGCCTGCACCACCACACCAGGCTCGGAATGGGCTTTTGGGAAATGTTACCACTGTCCTGCTCAGAGGCCCTCAGTAGCTTTCCAGGGAGAAGCCTTTGATCCAGAGTCTAGATGCGGGCTCTGGGGAGTCCAGGAACCCCTACAAAATAAAAGGTGGAATTAAACATGTGCATATTGCCGGGAAGAGGGCTTGGATTGCGTCAGATGCTCAGAGGGGTCAGGGACCCCACAGCATAAAGGTCCTCGCCTTCTAGGCAAAGTTAGTGGTTAAGAGACCAGTTGCTGCAGCCTGAGGGCTGGGCCCGGCTCCTAGGCCTGTCAGAGCTGTGCAACCTCAGGCAAATGCTTCACCGTCTGTGCCTTGGTCCCCTTGTCTGAAAACGGGGGAAGTAGTGGTACTACTTTGTAAGGCTATTTTGAGTAGTAGGAGAGCTAATATATGTAAAAGCAGTAGAAGACTACTTGGCGTGTGGAGAATGCTTATGTTTGTGTTAAGTGTATAAAGAGGCTGTAAGATACAGGACAGAGCTTTTAGGTAAAGACTTTCTGGGGCTTCTGGGATATCAGGTCCTCCCCATTTTATCATCACTGTGTTATTCTTTTCAAATAAAAAAAATGCACTTATAGGCTGAACACTATTACCTCCCTTGTCTTGTATTTTAGACCTCTGCTAATATGACCTTAGGTGACTGTTTATTTGTTTAAGCTGTTGCTACACCACTGGCTCATGGCAGACTGTAATTTTCCCTGTGCCTTTTCTGCTGCTTAATCAGGCTTTCTGTTCCTGGACATGGGCAACTGATGTTTGAAATTGATAAGCAGAATGGCCAGTTCTTCCTGGCTCATCCTTTTCATCTCATTGTCCTAGGAGGAGTTGAAGGATCCCATGTAGTGGAATGAATCTTGGGCTCCTCAGTAGACAGACCTGGGTTTCAACTCTGCTCTGCCCTCTTGCCAGCTGTGGGACCCCTGTGCCCAGTTACCTGACCTCTGGGGCCTCAGTTTCTTCAGCAGGAGGGTGGAGATAACGGCCTCGCAGGCAGGGTTCTCCGGCAGACGATGAAGTCAGCTTCCTGAGGTGTTCAGCAAGCACAGCTGAAGTGCTGGACCAGCAGGAGCTGTGCACACAAAACCTTGGCTCAACATCAGGCAGCTGCTTCCAGCCAGCTGTCCCTGCTCGCAATGAGCACGACCTTGACCGTGACCTTGGAATGAGTGCCGGGTCTCGGGAAGGGTGCAAGAAGCAGCTGGCCACAGGTCAGACGTGGCGCTCTACGGGGCACCCCTGTCCAGCCAGGCTGGCGGCTGACCTTGGAGACCTCCGCTGAGGTCACTTTGGGCTCCAGAGGGCGGGAACCCTGGTTCCCAGTGAACTTGAACTTACCTCGTCCTCTGGCCACAGACTTGGCCCTGGCCACCCCTGCCATCCCTTGCACTCCTGTCTGCTCTGCCCCCGGGACTCCGGGTCCTCTATTCTCACTGCGTCTGTGCTTGGTGTCCCCCCGAAGCTGCCGGCACACGAGTGCCTGGGGGTGTCTCCACCGCAGATCACAAAACCCTGACTGCCAAGCAGGTGGTCTTTTTGTTGTTGTTTTGTTTTTTCTCAGGGTGCTGGGGATGGAGCTCAAGTGCTCTACCATTAAGCTATAGACCCCAGCCTGCCTGCCTTTCTTTTTCTCTTTCTTTCTTTCTTTCTTTCTTGCTTGCTTGCTTGCTTTTCTTTCTTTTTCTTTCTTCCTTCCTTCCTTCCTTTCTTTCTTTCTTTCTTTCTGTCTTTCTTTCTTTCTTTCTTTCTTTCTTTCCTTCTCTCTCTTTCTCTTTCTTTCTTGACATATAGCCTAGCTTAGGCTTGAACTTGTAATCCTCCTGCTTCAGCCTCCCAAGTAACTGGGATTACACATGTGCACCACCAAGGTTGACCCAGATTTTTATTGTTGTTTGTTTTTTATGGTACCGGGGATGGAACTCAAGGCCTCTGTACTGAGCTACATACCCATCCCTTTTTAAAAAAATTTTTTATTTGGAAACAGGGTGCTGCTAAGTTGCCCAGGTTGGGTTTGAACTTTCTCAATCCTCCTGCCTCAGCCTCCTGAGTAACTGGAATTATAAACTGGCTCAGATGTGATGTTTTAATCAGCCCTCACTGGGCTTATAGTAGGACTTGGACAGGCATCTCAACAAAGGCATGTACCAGCTCTGCTGCAGGATGGTATGGACCTCTGTGAGTTGTGAGGATGACCAGCATCAAAGACTCGCACCCCCGCCCTCCTGGCCTGGCCTTTGCTGCGGCTCTCGGGGGCTGAGCGCATTAGGGGGACCGCAGCGTGACCAAAGCAACCTTGTTCCATAGCATTTGCGGAGCCTGTGCTCCATGCCGGCCCGCTCTAGGCTCAGACTTGTCAGGGAACCAGGCAGCCCTGCTTTCCCTGCTTGTCCCTGTCCCTGGTGCCCGGGGCACTTGGGCAGCGTACAGGCCAGGCCCTCGCCTGACTGTCCCTGGTCCAGCCGACTGACCTTCCACAGGAGCCCAGGTGCTGTGCCGGCTCCTTCCCAGCCGTTGTATCCGAAAGCTCAGGCTGCCCGTCTGTCCTTCTCTGCTGGCTGCTGCTCACCAGGGGAAGGTGGTGTCTGCTAGTGTCTCTTGCTGCCAGGTTAATCCTGGCTTGTATTCTGACCCACTCGTTAATTAATGATTCATAGGAGTTTTTCCGGGAGCTGCTCGGAGACCACTGTGGTGAAGCAGAGCTTCCCGTCTCCCTGCCTTCTCGGTCTGCTTCCTCTAAGACCCCTGGACCTTAGCTGCCAGTTTTACATTGATCGGTACTGCCTGCCTCCCTCCCTCTCTCCCTTCCATTGATTGAACTCGGGACCTTTGCACTGAGCTACATCTGCAGCCTGTTTTAATTTTTTTTTTATTTTATTTTGAGACAGGATCTCCCTGTGTTTCCCAGCTGTCTTGAACTTGCCATCGTCCTGTCTCAGCCTCCTGAGTAGCTTTTTGGAATGAGATCCCAAGATAGAGAACCGAGCAGGGATCTCGGGGCAATGAGCCTTCTCAGCACTGCTAAGGAATGCAGTCCAGCGCCTTGCTTTTTAGAGGAAACTGACATTATCTACCAGGAGTGTCGGAAAAAGCGTACACACGTGCGAGCTCCGTGGACTTCTGCGTTCGAATCTCTCTCCCCCCTTCCGCCTCTCTCTCTCTCTCTCTCTGCAGCACAGGGGTTCAAGCTCAGAGCGTGCTAGGCAAGCTAGCTAGCACCGGGCCTCATCCCCAGCCCCTGAGCATTTTTCTTAATAACTGGTGCTCTGGTCTGACTGCCCTCCCATCCCTACGCTGAAACTGAACCTCAGTGTGATAGCGTTCAGCAGCGGGCCTCGGAGGAAGTGACCGAGCGCCCTATGTAGGGCGATACCTGACCTTACAGAAGAGCTCGGGGAACTTGTTTGCCCTCTGCCCTGTGAGGACACGTGGCCGCTGCCGTCTGTGAAACAGACTCTGCAGGCGCCCGGCTCTTTGCAGCCGTGAGCAACACATTTCTCCCCAGCGGCGATCGCCACCGAGGGCGTGCTTGTTACACAGGCCCCAAGGGCTAGGATGACTGCTAACCTTCCTTGAGCCTTTGTGTGTTCCGGTCGCTGTGTAAGGCCTCATGCAATGCCCCCGGCACCCCAGTGCTGTTAGCTGGCCTTTAACAGAGAGGGGAACTGCGGCACCCAAGCGCGGCCTGCTCAGAGTTCACTGCTGTAAGGGGCGGGGCAGGTGCTGAGCATAACTGACGTACGCAGAGGGCTCTCCAGGACACACAAAGCAACAAGTGTGGGTGCGGGCAGTCCGTGGCTTAGCCTGTGCCTCCTGTGGGTCTTGTGCTTGCAGATACGGTGAGCGCCGCCGACCCTGTTGGCAGAGGCCGAGGGGGCGGCACGGTGAAGCGCGGCTCCGTACTCAGCTGCTCGTTTTCCTCGGCAGGTGCCTCAGCATCTCCCCATGGGGCGGCTTCATGCTGGCCTCCTGCTCGCCGTGACCGGCCTGATCCTGGCGTGGGCGGCAGGCTGTGGTAAGTCACCACCTCTCCATCGTCCACCTCTGACTCCCGCCGAGGTCCCGGGGCCCATCAGTGAACAGAACAGAGACCCTCAGCCTTGTGGAAGATGACGCCGCAGAGGGACGGGACACGGACGGATAACATATTGTCCTGGCTGTAGTTTTTTTTTTAATGGTATCAATTCAGATTGAAACTCCAGCTGGGTGTGGTGGTGCACGCCTGTAATCCCAGCACTCGGGAGGCTGAGGCAGGAGGATCGTTGTGAGTTCGAGACCAGGCTGGGCTACAAAGTGAGCTCAAGGCCAGCCTGCACTGCATAGCGAGACCCTGTCTCAAAAAGACAAAAAAAAAAAAGATTGAAACTCCAGGTTGTTGTAGAAGTTGGAAGATAATGATTTGAGGTAAATTCTAAAGATCCCTGAAGGTGACAGAGAAAGTCAACACAGAATGGAGTCAGGGAAGCCGGGCAGCTGGGGCAGCAGGGCCCGTGGTTTAAAATCAGGTGGGCAGGGTCAGCACTGGAGCCAGCCGCTCGTGCCGCGGCTGTGCAGACACCTGGGAGCAGGCGTTCGCAGCAGAGGCACCACGGAGAGCCGGCCAGGCTTGCAGAAGGGACAGGAGAGGAGTGGGGGCCACCGTCCCGGAGGTCTGAGCCCAGCAGCAGCCTGCTCGGTTAGAGTTACCAGGATTCCCCCAGCTGCAGGGAAGGAAGGACCGGGGGAGGCCTAGGGGCCGGGAGGGAGGAGGTGGGCCAGGGGGAGCCGTGTCTGGGGCCATCGGGAAGGTCGACCAGGGCACAGATTGGAATTGGTTCGTGAGAGAGGAAGAGGTGTCAAGGTGACCCCAAGACTTCGGGCCCAAGCCACAGGGAAGGACGCGGCAGTCACTTCTGAGAAGTATTGGGGAGGTGCTCTGCTGCTGCGCGAACCCTCAGCGTGGAAGCCCTTTCCCCGTGGACTGAGCGCACTGCTGTCGGCCCTGGGCTGGGGCCTAAACAGGTGCCCGAAGCCCTGGAGCAGGGGGTCCGGAGCGCTCAGCAAGCTCACAAAGGGTGCTGGGACATCAAAAACCGGGTAAAGTAACCCTAAGCTATTGCAGGATGATCAGGCCTGCAATCTCCCAAGCAAGTGGACGTCAAAGGCTTACATAAGATGCAGACAATATTATGATTTCAGGGCACCAGGAGGACTAACTGTCTTACAGCGTCAGTATTCTCTGAGCTAGCCAAAGACTGCTCCGAGCGGCCCGTATTTATTAGATTTTCAAACAAAGGGAGAGGATACTCAAGAAAATGCAGGAATCTCGCAGGACCTTGGGAGAATTTTCCCAAGTAGTAAATTACCTCAGTCAGGAGACCTACCTTATCTTTAGGCTGGTATTTCTTGCAGGAGTGTGGAGCCTGCAGCTGCAGTCTCCTGGTAGTTAACTGGGGTTGGGGCCAAACGTCCTCAGCTGTGGCCTCATCTTGTCAGACAAGGGGCCTAAGCTTCAGACGACTCCCAAGTAAACACGGAAAGCCAATTGGTTAATGTTAAATCCTGCTCAGAGCCACTTTGCAGTGGTCCCCGACACTGGAAGAGGAAGGCCCCAACCCACGCTTTCCTCCTCCGCTGCCCAAAACCCCTGGGATGAGGGCACAGAGGCGGCTGGGCCCGGAGACTGGGGCCTCAGCGCAGAGAGAGATGGGAGGCAGGGAGTGCCGGGAGAGGGCAGACGGAGGGCAGGGGTGCCTCCCCAACGGTCCCCCGGGGCCGGGCTCCCTAACGCCTTCCCGCTGTGCCTTGGCCAGGAGCTGAGTTACCCTAAGAAGAAGGGGCATTCCGCCCCGCCCTCCTCATGGGCCCTGCACCCTGCAGGGAACCCACAGGGACCCTGGTCCAGCGTCACACGGTGGGAGCTGACAGCGTACGCTCCCTGGCACCTGCATCCCCAGTCCTGGTTAGGCTGGTTTCCCACTTGCCCTGGTCATGCAGATGCCCCTGGCTGTGGGTTCCCGGCCACCTGAGTGGTCCCGTGGCTTCTGGCCGTGGCTTCCTGCCTGCTCAGGTGGTCCCCTGTCCCCACAGGGAGCCTGAAGGTTCTGCGGAAGCCCACCTGCTTCTCGGATTACCTCAGCCTGTCCACCTGTGAATGGCGGCTGGACCGCCCCCTGGACTGCAGCGCGGCGCTCCGCCTGTCCTACGAGCTCCTGTTCAACCCGGAACCGGATGCAGAGTAAGCCGGGGCTGGGATCGTGGGAGGGCGGGGTGCTGAGCAGGGTTGCCAAGGCTCGGCCATCTCGGGACACGCTCTCAGGCGCAGTGGAGGCCTCCGCAGCACACTGTCACCGCGCACATAGCGTGTGGATCTGGCTGGAATATGGCACAAGGCCAGCAGTCTCAAACTTCATGGTCTCTGGTCCCCTCGGTGCACTCATCAGTCAGCACCCGAGAAGCTTTATCCAGCAGCGTGCTCCATCCGTATCTCCCTTGTTAGATCTCACACGCAACACAGTTCCACAGGACAGCGGTTCCACAGGCCCTCCGAGCGGTGACGCACCATGTAGCACGTAGCCACTGAAAAGCTCCAGAGTCTTCTGGAGACTGAGAAAGGGTCAAACGAGCAAGAAAGCGTAAAGGCAAATAACATCTGGAGTTACTATGGAGACAGTTTGACCCAGTGACCCGGGCCCGTGAGAACCACTGGACAAGGCCATTGCTGGGCGGAGAGGGTGACCAGCTAGTGGTAGAGTTGTTGTGATGGTAGGAGGCCTGTGAGCGCGTGTGTGCAGCTCAGGTGTTGCACTGTACAACTCCAGGACGTGTCGGGCTCTCCAGGACATGATGCATAAGTTTTCTGATGGCCCTACGGTATTGCAGACCAGTGCCAGGCATACTAGCCCTTAGGCCATATCTGGCCTGCTACCTGTTTTTGTAAATAAAGCTTTATTAGCACATAGCCATACTCCTTCCTGTATATGTGGCTCAGGGTTTTTTTTTTTTTTTGTGCTATGTCAGCAGAGCTGAGAAGTTGTGACCCTCAAAACCCAAAATATTGATCTCCCGGTCTTTATAGAAAACAGTTGCTGGCACTGTGTGACGTGGGGCTTACTGATGAGGCGGCACCTTGGACTGGCACGTGCCAGTGGGCGAGGTGCCCGGGCCTGCTGCTCCCCACCGTGTGTTGGTGCAGACCATCTGCAGAGAGGGGCACCAGGCCCACACACGTTACAGATTCATGCACAGGTTCCTGCCTCTCAGCACGTGCAGGAATGTGCTAAGCCCCAAGACAGGGCCTGCAGCCATGCTGCGCTCGAAGGGCTGTGGCCAGCAAGGAAGGCCACCCAGTCCTCTGTCCCCACACACCCCGGCCGCTCTCAGGCCCCCAGATCTGGTCCTCAAAGCGGGGGAGCACGTGGTCCGGAAGGCGCACCGCGGGGATAACCGCTCACGGCAGCCTCCACAGGATCAGCCCGACCCTCACTGTGTTTGCAGAATCCACACCTGCATCCCCGAGAACAGTGCCGATGCGGTGTGCGTGTGTCACATGGACATTAAGCAGCCAGTCATCGTGGACACCTATCAGCTGGACCTGTGGGCCGGGACGCAGCTGCTGTGGACCCACAACTTCACGCCCAGCCAGCATGGTGAGTGTTGGCGGGGGAGCTCCAGGCGGGAGGTGGCCCACACATCCTCCTGGGTTCCCTCTGGGCCTCAGTCTCCCGGGCTTGGAGTGGGGCAGGGCTACACTCCGGGTCCCCTGCAGCTCAGCTGTCCCAGCCTGGATGTCAGTGTCCGGGGAGGCGTGATGAAATCACACAGGCTGGCTGTGCGCTGTCTGGGGCTGGGACCCGTCCTTCCCGGCCTTCGGCTGTGCGGGGGCTGCTTCTCCAGACGGCCGTGACCGTGGAAGGCTGACCTTGTCCCGGTGCTGAGCCCTGCAACCGTTCCTCCGTGACTTTGCTCCAGTGTCATCTGAACGGGAATCTGAAGCAGGAGTTTATTACTGTTTGGCCTGGGGCAAATCACATTCTGGCCTCAGTTCCCAAAAGACAGCTGTTATCCCCCTTTGCAGTTGAATAACCTGGAGGAGGGTAGCCTGCCTCAGGTCCCAGGGCGCTCAGCCGCAGAGGGAGCGCTCAGGCTAAGCCTCAGCAAGGACTGTTTTCTCTCCTGAAGGCCTGCCTGGACCCCTGGTGGCCCATGGTTACTGAGACTGACTCATGAATACATCTCATTTTACTTTTGCAAGTGGCTTTCCAGGGGAAGAATTTTTTATTACCTTACGTTTGTGATAATTACATTCATCTTGGGGAAATGATAGGTACATACATCGCATCTTAATCATGCAAAATTTTACCATAATTCTTAGCCTCAGGGGCTCAGTGGTAGAGAACTTGCCTGGCATGCATGCATGGGGGCTCAATCCCCAGCACCACAAAAGCATCCTAATAATTTTTCCGTGTGTACGTTGCTTTTAATGCATCTTCTGTAGTTGTGAGCTCAGGGATATGCTTGTGTAGAAAGAGACTCCAGCTTTAACCAGGCAAATCTAAATGAAGCCAGACACTGAAGAATCACCATGCGGTGTGCAGAGGTGGGCACCGTGGGATGGCAGAGGTGACCCAGCTGATTGGGTGACTGTGACCTGTGCCTTTTGCCTTCCCCGGGACAAAGACAAAGGCAACCCTAAAATGCAATGCAGCTTTTTTTTTTTTTTTTGTCTCTTTGAGACAGGGTCTCGCAATGCAGCTCAGGCTGGCCTTGAGCTCACTTTGTGGCTCAGGCTGGTCTTGAACTCACAACGATCCTCCTGCCTCAGCCTCCCAAGTGCTGGGATTACAGTCATGCACCACCACGCCCGGCGCAATGCGGCATTTTACCAGCATTGTATCACCTGTACCATGAGCGGCCTTCACGCAGAGCTACATCCCCAGCCATTTTTTAGTTTAGTTTAGTTTAGTTTTGGAGACAGGTGTGATCCGCATGCCACGCATGGCTCTTGGGATACTAGGTGGCCGGTGTGCGCGCTGAGGGGGGGCGGGGCGTGTCTCCCGCACCTCCCTGCCAGCCCCTCACACTGCGCCTTCTCTGCAGTGAAGCCCAGAGCCCCGGTGAACCTCACAGTCAGCGCCAACGTCTCCAGCGGGTGGCTGCTGTCCTGGAGCAACCCATACCCGACATGGAACTTCCTTCACTTCAGGCTCAGCCACCAGGTCAAAGTCTCCAGCGAGAGCAAGCCGGAGCACGTGAGTGGGCTGTGGGTTCTTGTCGCCCGGGGAAGTGTGGCTGAGGCCCCGAGCCCTGCCCTCAGGCGGTGGCCCCAGCTGGATGGCTGGCGTGGGCACACAGAGAGCCGGCCCGCTCCTCCCGTTCACCTCCTGCCCGGTTCCCAGAGTGCCCCTGCCGCTGGTCAGCCAAGGAGGGCCATGAGCCCCCCTCCTGCTCGGGGGACATCTGAGACTGCGACTTTGGCCACACACTTCGGGAACATGAGTCCCAGAGTGGAAGGTCGCTCCATATCATGGCGAGGAGGAGGAGGCGTCTCAGAGCAGCCGGCCTTCACACTGAGCTACACCCTCAGCCCCCATTTTTTTCTTTTGAGACAGGGTGTTGCTAAGTTGTCTAGGTTGTGCTCAGACCTGCAGTTCTCCTGCCTCGGCCTCCCTGAGTGCTGGGATTATAGGTGTACAGCGCCAGGGAGCAGCCATTTATTTCTGGCCCCGTTTTATTCTGTGTTGGCTTCATTTTTAAGCGAGCTCTTGCTTCGTGTAATGGCAAGTGTGCCCCCTAGCAGCTCCAGGCCCACGTCCCAAGGCATTCATGGGAAACCACGGTTTTCTCTTTCTCCCCAAGTCCCAGTGAAATCCTAGGGTTGATGCCTCCTTGGCTTAGTTTAAATCACATGCCTCAGGGAGGTGTGAGCACTGGTGGAGTTCTCTGATTGGCCAGGGCTGAGGCGGAGTGATGAAGTTCAACATCTCCTACTTGTGGGCAGAAGCCACTGAGGCACACCACCCCACTGCTCTTCCAGCCCCAGAGCTGGACCTAAGGGATTTATTGTCCTGTCTGTGCCGGTCACATGCTCCCCGGTAACCAATCACAGGCTAGGGATTGGGATTGGTCTCCGCAGATGAGGATCAACCCTGGAGCTGGGGACTTACCCTGAGCAGTATATAAATTCGGTGGCATAGAAGCCAGGTTCACTTCCAGTTTATTGCAAACTCCAGCTGTAGCTCGGACTCGGTCAGATAAATTCTGAGAAGAGCTATTAGTAATTTGTGGTGGAATTTTGGGGGTGGAGCTGCTCATGCACCTGGGAACTCTGTGAGAAGAGATTTGGATGGGATGTCTGAGGTTTAGGATGATAGAGAATCTGGACAGCCGGGCGTGGTGGCGCACACCTGTAATCCCAGCACTCGGGAGGCTGAGGCAGGAGGATCGTTGTGAGTTCGAGGCCAGCCTGGGCTACAAAGTGAGCTCCAGGCCAGCCTGAGCTGCTTATCAAGATCCTGTCTCAAAAAGACAAAAAAAAAAAGAGAGAGAGAGAGAATCTGGACTATAGGAGCATGTAGCAGAGCAGTAGGAAGAAGGACATGAATCTGTTCGGGCCCCTGCATTCCGTTCTAACGGAAAGAGCAGTTTCCATCCCTCCTGTGTGTACCAAGAGATGAGGACTCGGAGCCTCCAAGGGCCGCAGCAGCCCGCCTGGGGCCCCACGCCCAGGAGCGGCAGAGCTGCAAGTTGAACCAGGATCCGAACTCCCACCTTCTGGTTCACAAATAGTTCCTTGAAAGGTGTGGTTTGTGTTTTTCCGGGTCAAACATTTCACAGTACTCCCCCCTGCTGGGCCGTGGGGCTCCCTTGGGAACGGCCACCGGGCTGTGGCTTCTTACTGACCCACCGTGTGCAGAGAGGGAATGAGCTCCCCGACGCACCCCTCAGCTCCGCAGTGCTGGGCCAGTACCCCTCCCCAGCCCCCACCCCCGGCTCTCTCTGCGCCAGGCCGCGTCCTCAAACCCTGCGGGCCAGCGGTGAGCAGGAAAGCTGCCTGGGTGTATCTGCACAGGACCCCTCCCTAAGTCAGAGTCAAACTTTTACTTCTCGCTTCCTTTTTAAACTTGATTGTGGGTTAAAAAGTAATGTTTACATAAAGCAGAAAATTCCCATGGCACTCAGAGACCCAGCCTGCGGCCCTCTCGCCAGATGTTGAACACTGTTGGCGCCCGTGCCAGCAGGGAGGAGGGGAGGGGAGGGGAGGGCAGACTCGGGGCCTGGAGGCGCGCTGTCCTCGAGGCAGCGTCTGTCCCAGGCAAGTGTGCGAGTGTTCGCCGTGGCTGTCCTTGCTAGCACGTGTGACGTCAGTCTTCGTGGGCTGGGAGCGGGCTCCAACTCAGCAGGGTCCTCCACAACAGAGGCGGACAGGGCTGCAGGGGCTGCGGGGCTGCAGGGTCGTCCGAGGTCCTGTGATACTGATGACAGCATCCAGGTCCTGGCAGGCTGGTGACGGGGAGGCCCGGAGGCCACCCTGCGTGCTTTCCCTGTGGCCTTTTCAGTACCATCGAGGCAGAACATTCCTAGCAGGCTGGACCTTACAAGGTCATGTCACGTAACTATATACACGCAGGCGCTGCAGGCTCTCCAGAGAGACTGCTGTGTGCCCGGCCCTGTGCCAGCGCTTGGCTGTATAAACCCCGAGAGGCCCCACAGCGGCCTTGGGAGCAGCAGGCAATTATTTTCCTTATCCCCATTTTGCGGAAGAGGACATTGAGGTCCAGAGAGGTTATGTCATTTACTGAAGGTCACACAGCCAGAAAGTGGCAGTAAGGACTCTTAGCTTCATTTTACAGATGAGAGAAGTAAGCCCACAGAGCTCACTCAGCTGACCCGGTTAGTGTCACACAGTGAGTCCTCAGGGAGCCGGGGTGAGGCCCATCACCCCGACCCATCTCGTCTACTCTGGAAAGGCGACCAATAGCAGCCCGAACGGGGAGACGGCCCAATCAGAACCCAGGCGGGCGGCTCTCGGCACCCTGGGATCAGCCAAGGACGGCTGTTAAGGCGGGAGCTGCTCCTCCGCCCCAGCTGAGTGCTGACGACTTCTTTCCCTACCAGGTCAAAATCTACAACCTGACCTACAAGGAGACCAGCTTCCACCTGGAAGCCCGAGACCTGATGTCCGGGGTTTCCTACACCGCGTGGGTGAGGGCCCTGGCCCAGCTCAACGGCAGCACCTGGAGTGAGTGGAGCCCCGGCGCCAAGTGGAAGAACCGTGAGTCGCACGCCCCGCGCGGGGACGGCTCCACTCCCCGGCGCTCCCGGGCGGAGCCGCTGGGCTTTGGTACCAGAAGCTCCTCTAACTGCACGGAACCCGGCGCCGCACTGCTGAGCTGAACTGGTCAGCTTGGTGGCTGGGCTGCAGTAACAAATAAACCCGAAGTTTCCGTGCTATAACGCTGTGGATACGTATTTGTTGGTAGCGTTGCAGTCCAGCGCGAGTGCTGCCGGTTTGGGAGGGGTGAGCTCTGTAGGTGGAATCGTGGTGCCCGGCACCAGGCCAGCTGCGCAGGGTTTAAGGGACTCAAGTAGATTTGATTCTGCTGTTGGCCTGGGGAAGGGAAGGGAAATGGCTTGTACGGAACAGACAGAGCGTGCTGGATGCTTGGGAATTATTTCTGATGAATATTTATTGAGCTGCTACTGCGTGAATAGACACTGGGTGATCACAGGTCTCTGCTCTTTGGAGCTGCCATCCTGGAAGGCAGAGACAAAAAAAACAAACAAACAGGTGAACAAAGAAAGAAGCCAGCTGGATGCAGGGGACACCAGTGCTGGGGAGGAACGTGGCGGAGCTGGGGGTACGATGGGAGGGGCGGTGGTAGAGGCGTCAGGGAGATCTTTTGGGGTGGGGTGATGGAGGCGAACAAGAAAAGGCGCCAGCATTATATACTGAATCGGTCGCCCTGGCGAGCCCAGGAGCTGAGCGTCGTGAACCCCTCTGTGCAGACAGCGGAAGGGCGCGGCCGGCCGGGGATGACAGTCAGGCCCTGAGCCTGCGCATTCCCGCTTGAGCAGGTGAGCTTGACCTTGGTGCGCTCAAGCTCTGGGCCTGCGGGAGCAGGACAGGGCGGGAGAGCACTGGATCAGGAGGGAGCTGGAGCACGTGAGGCGGGCAGGAGGGGTCCCGGCCCCAGCGCCAGGCATTCGGGCGGCACGGTGCGGGCTCACGGCTCCCCTCACCTCCCCGCAGACTACGAGCAGCTGCTGGAGCAGCGCGTCAAGCTGGGCGTCCTCATCTCCTGCTTCCTCATCACGCTCATCTGCCTGTCCTGCTACTGCAGCATCAGCAAGTGAGTCCGCCACGGGCCCGCCAGGGCGCGGGCCGGTACCAGGCCTGCATTCCGGGCGAGCGGTACCGAGCGGCTGCCGCGCACTGGTGCCCAGTCGAGGGCTGGGGCGGGCTGCCCGGGCCCCTGGGTTCCCTACCTCTGTGTCCCAGGGCAGCCCATCCATACCTGGAAGGTCTTCAAAGTGACACCCAATCAGGTGGGTGTAGACCTAGGTTAGGGAAGGGACATTTGGGGGTGCTCTTTGGATGGGGGCAGGACAGGCTGCCCCGAGGAGGTACCTGAGCTTCGGCTGAATGGGAGAGTGGGTGCCCGCGGGCAGGGGAGAAGGGCCTTCCTTGAGCACAGGGGAGTCGGGGTCGGCCCTGTCGCCTTGTCACCCTGGAGGTGCAGGGTCTGGCCCAGCACTGGCGTGGGAGGAGCCTGGGCTGGAGTTGGCTCTGCGTCCTAGTGTGGGCGGGGAAGGCAGGGGCGGAAGGAGCCTGTCCCCAGCAGGTCCTGGCCGACTGTGGAGTCCAGGCGTCTCCACACCTCTGCCCGCTGTCCCGGCTGTGCCTCCCTCATCACCGGGATCAGAGGAGGCTGAGGAGGGACGTGAGAGGGGCCGCTAGTGGCGGGCACATTCCAGGTCTGCAGGGAACACCAGGGCCCCGTGTCCTGCTGCTCCTGTCTCCCGGCAACCACAGGCCAATCTTTGAGCCGTTCTGAGCCTGCGGTCCCCAACCCCCATCTCTTCCCGTCCCTTCTGCTGCACCCCAGCAGGACTGGACCCGGGGATGCGCCACCACTGAGCTACACCCCCAGCCCTTTATTTTTAGAATTTGAACAGGTCTCTGTAAGTTGCCCAGGTGGGATTGAAACTTGGCGATCCTCCTGCCTCAGCTTGCAGATGGCTGGGCCAGCGCACCTGGCTCCCTGGCAGTTCTCTAAAAGTGCCAGGCGTGTCCTTCCCTCACAGCCTTCACGCACGCCATGCCCCTGCCCAGTAAGCCCTCTCCCCGCCTGCTCACCCTCTCCTCTCCACTCCTCACACCTCTAGCCCTCTGCTGTCTTTATCTTTATTCACGGCACCCTCCACCGTGGAAGAATGATGCCAGCCATTCATTGCTATGTCTTGTCTCAAAGGTCAGCTCTCCAAGGGCAGGGGTCTGCATCTGTCTCATTTCCTGTTGTGCCTGGGCCCTGGCACAGTGATTTGTTACATACTACATGCTCAGTGAATACAGGTTGGGAAGCCAGGTGTAGTGGTGCAGGGAGGCTGAGGCAGGAGGATCACAAATGCGAGCCTAGTCTTATCAACTTCCACAATTAGTAAGACCCCGCCTCCAAAGGGGTGGGGCGGGGGCACGAGTGCTGTAGAGCAGTACAGACAGCCTGGGTTTAATCCCAGCACTGAAGGAATCAAGCAAACCAAGAAATAAATTTACTGGCTAACCTCAGGCAGAGGTCAATCGCTAGGGAGCAGGGGACTGTCCTACCAGGAGTGCCGTGGCCTCGGGTGGGTACAGGAAGAGATGCTGCTGCTCTGTGGCTCCCCAGGCCTCTCCCTGGGGATTCCTGCAGGAGACCCAGATCCTCCCTCTGCAGCTGTCCCGGCTCCCCGGGGTCTTGCCCCCCTGGGGACAGTGGGGCCCCCTCTGGAGCTCTGTGCTGAGCAGCAGTCCGGGTGTGAACCCGCTCTGCCCCCACTCCTGCCCATCTCCTCTCCGGGCCTCCGTGTCTGCGTCTGTAGAACGACATCCGCGGTAGAATCCACTTCCCTGGATGGGGGCAGGGACTCAGAAGTGTGACTGCAAAGCCAGCCTGCCCCCTGGTACCTTCAGGACCCATGGCCGGGGCGGTGTTCACAAAGATCTTTCATCCGGGGCCAACACCTCTTCCCTTTGTTTCTCAGGATTAAGAAGGAGTGGTGGGACCAGATTCCCAACCCGGCCTGTAGCCCCGTGGTAGCCATTGTCATCCAGGACCCCCAGGTGAGACAGCCTGGGGCCCAAGGGTGGGCTCCATGTCCTGGGGGGCAGAATGACGGGAGACAAGGAAGCTCGATCAACAGCCCCTGTGGTCCCCGGAGCCGGAGGCCTCCTCTCCCTTCAGCTTCTGCAGCTGCCATGGTGTCCAGGTTGGGCCTCTCGGGGGTGGGTCTCCAGCCTGGGTCACCTCCGTGTCACCTCCCAGGCAGCTGGTGCTGTGCTTCCCGGTTAGGAATGAACTGAGGTAGTGCACAGAAAGCGCGGGTCCCGGAGCCTTGCACATGCAGAGTGCCCTTTATTTTATCAGTTAGCTTTGCCAGGTAACAACCACCCCTAGATCCCGCGAGTGACAGCAGCCACCACCCAGTTGGCTCCTGCTTTGCAGGTTGGTGGTTTGGGCTGGGCTCTGTGAGGCAAGTGGCGGGGGAAGCTGGGTGGAGCCAGGCCAGACAGGGCGTGGCTGAGTGGCCTCATGCGTGGGCCCAGTGACCACCTGACTCACAGAGGCGTGGAGGTGACTGAGCTGGAGGTGCCCCCCTGCAGCAGGCCAGCTCAGGCTTGTTTGCTTGGTGGCCAGGTCATGTAGGAGGGATGCTGTAAAGCCTCTCAACCTCCAGGCCCAGATGATAACCGCCTTGGTTATCAAAGGACATCCCACAGCCTTCTTAATCCAGGGTCCTGGGCTGATTTTTGCCATCCAACATAGTAGTATTATTAGGACAGTCTCGTTGATTCCCAGGAAACTGAGGCCAGAGAGTTTAAGTGACCTCTGTGGACCTCAAGCCATGTCAGCCTTTCCGTGACAGACACCTCCTGAGGATTGCTGTCACCAGCCTGCCTTCCGGTCTGCTTCACTGGCCTTTTTGTTTTAGGTGTCACCATGGGAGAAGTGGTCCCGGGGCCAGGAGCCCAGGAAATGCCCGTATGTATCTGGAGTTCGCCTGTGTGGCTTTGGAGGGGGCTGGAACCAACAGCAGAGTCCACACTCCCTTTACTCCCTGGCCTTGCGGGTGGTGTGGGCTGCTGGCCGAGCCCCTGAGTCACTGCTGGTCAGGCACTTTCTGAGCCCACTGGCAGTGCCCCACAGCCTAGAGAAAGCTGATTGTTAGCAACCAGGGCAAGTGTGCCTGTCGTGCAGGTGGTGACTGAATTGTACACTCACTGGCAAGTGGCCACTGGCCTGGACATTTAAGTGTCTCACCACCGCTCCGCCCTCCTCCCTGAGCACCTCCTGGACCTACCAGTTTATATCTGGCAGGATGGTCCAGACCCTGCCCCAACCCTAGGACCCCTCCACCCATTCTATCATGGCTTAGGCCATCGTGTTATATTTAAATGTCATTGTCCCTGATAAAGATTTTTCCTTATTCAGTAGACCAGGTTTGCATTAGCTAGGCCCTGGGCTGGGTTCCAGAAATGCAAAAGAAAGAAATAGGTCCAGCCCTCAGAGAGTTCCCGGTTCAACAGTAAAGATAGACTCATTGGTAATTGATTATCGAGTCAGGAACCATATCTGCAATATATAGATATCAGTACAGCATGATTTCAAACTGGGCTTTGAGGGATGAGTAGGAGTTTTTCAGGTGCTGGTATGGAACCCTGACCATCTCCTGCTTTTGTAGACGCTGGAAGACATGTCTGACCAAGCTCCTGCCCTGCTTTCTGGAGCACAGCGTGAAAAAGGATGAAGATCTCCCGAAGGCTGCCAGGAACAGGCCTTTCCACGGCCCCGGCAGATCAGTGTGGTGCCCCGTGGAGGTCAGCAGGACGGTCCTCCTGCCGGAGACTATCAGCGTGGTGCGGTGCGTGGAGTTGTTTGAGGCTCCCGCAGAGGTCAAGGAGGAAGAAGAGGAGGTGGAGGAGGATAGAGGGGGCAGAGAGGACTCCTGCACATCCCTGGAGGGCAGCGAGGGCAGCTTTCCAGATGGCAGGGTGAGGATCGCGGAGAGCATGATCCTGGGCCTGCTGGGGGCGGAGGACGGGGATGTCTGCCGGCCCAGCCTGGGGGAGCCCTGCCTTCTGCTGCCCCCGGGGAGCACGAGCACGCAGACGCCCTGGGCCTTGTTCCCCACCCCTTGGGACGAGGAGCAGCCTCAGGCCGGGGCAGCCCAGGGCCCAGCCTGCCCCGAGGTGCCCCTGGTCGTCAAGGACAACCCCACCTACCGCAGCTTCAGCCACTTTCAGGGCCAGGCCCAGAGCCCCGGAGGGCTGGCCCCAGAACCCCTGTGGGGCGAACACCTGAAGGAAGGGGGGGACCCCACGAGCCCTGGCACCCCCCAGCCCTCAGAGCCACAGACCTGGGAGCAGATCCTCCGCCAGAGCGTCCTCCAGCACGGGGCCACCCCGGCCCCCGCTGTCACCTCCTGCAGTGGCTACCGGGAGTTCGTGCAGGCGGTGAGGCAGGGCGGCCCCCAGGACGGTGCGGCGGCCCCCGGCCCCTCGGGAGACGCTGGGTACAAGGCGTCCTCCTGCCTGCTCCCTGACAGTGCCACCTTGGCAGGGGCGGCAGGGCCCGGGGGCAGCAGTGGGGACGGAGGCTACAAACCCTTCCAGAACCTCGCTGCCAGCTACACTGGGCACCCGGCCCCCGGCCCTCTGCCCCTCTTCACCTTTGGCCTGGATGTAGAGCCACCTGTCACCCCCCAGAACCCCCTCCCCACAAGCACACCCCCAGAGGGCCTCAGTCTGGGGCCAAAGGTCAAAGAGGAGGACAGGCAGAAGCCGCTGGTGCCCCCCCAGGAGGCCACCACCCCTCTCAGGGACGACCTGGCCAGTGGCATCGTCTACTCTGCCCTCACCTGCCACCTGTGTGGTCACTTGAAGCAGTGTCACGGCCAAGAGGAGGCCGGCCAGGCCCAGCTCGTGCCCAGCCCCTGCTGTGGCTGCTGCTGTGGAGACAGGTCGTCACCCCCAGGGGCGCCCCCTGGGGCCTTGGAGCCGGCCCCGGCTGAGCCTCCGCTGCACGCCAGCCTCCGCCCCGCCTCCCCGGCACCCGTGGGCATCTCGGAGGAGGAGAAGTCCTCCCTGTCCTTCCATCTTGCGCCCAGCAATGCTCAAAGCTCAAGCCAGGCCCCCAAAGTGGGCGGCCTAGTCCCCCCAGGGCCCCTGAGCGTGAGCGAGTCCAGCTACGGGCCTTCTTGTTGCTGAGGTCTGCCGGGGGCGCTGGGCCCGTCCGAGCCCCGGAACCTCCTTCGGGAGGCGGCCCAGGTGGCGGATTTCCCGCAGCCTGTGAGATGGAGGCATGACCTTGGCCTAACACCAGGCCGCAGGCTGGGCCCCACCCCTGTGCCGGCCTGGGGGAGCCCAGCCTGCGGGAGCCCAGGGCTCCGGGCGGCTCCTTCCCACTGGAGCGCCTGCAGGGGTGTGGGGCAGCCCGGCTTACGAATGAGCGGCTGCCTGCCACCCCCACCGTGTCCCCCGCGACTGTCCCCATCCGACCCACCCGGGTCCGTGTCGTCTGCCCGGTCACTTGAGTGCCTGCGGTTGGCTGTCCCCATCTCACCAAATGGAAAGTTGAACCCAGAACCTTGAGGCCAACAAAGGACGACTTGGGAGGCCTTGGCCGTGGGCAGAAGTCGGGTCTCAGGTGATGCTCGGGGCACAGAGGCGACACTTACTCTGCACACTCGGGGCAGAAGAATGAAAGGAATTGTCACTACCAAAGCAGTGGCAGTTGCTCCCAGGGGCCCACGCACAACTGTCGGGTTGGGGCTCCCACGGAGGTCCCTGAGCACACAGACTCAGCTCCCTGTGACTGTCCTCCGTGGACCCCAGTGCTGACAGCCCCAGAGAGGCAGAGGGCAGTGGCATGTGTCCCGGGGCCCAGCTGGGGCTGGACAGTCCCTGCTCCAGACCCCAGGCCTCGGGTGCTGGGGAAGGGGGGCTGGGCAGGGTGCTCCCTGTCTGCGCGCCCCAGGACTATGTCACTGCCTGCCTCTGTTTGCTGGGGAGGGCGGAACAGGACCCAGTTGGAGTTTTATATAAATAAAATTCTTTATCTTTATTGTTTGTTTATTAAACAAACTCGCTGCCAGGCTCCACAGTGAGGACTGTATAACTCTAGAATGTTCCCTTCCAGAGGAACGTGGGCACAAGAGGCTTACAGAGTGGTGGTGTCAGGTCCCAGGGAAGCTGATCCCAGGCTCCTGGTATCCCGAACAAAGAACCCAACAGGATACTCAGAATGAGTCACAAGAGTGAGATTTATTGAAAGGGAAAGAAGCAGGCGGACATGGTGGCGCACACCTATAATCCCAGCTTGCAAGAGGCTGAGGCAGGAGGAGCCTCAAGAGTTGAGGGCAGCCTGGGGTATATAACAAGATGCAGTCTCAAAAAAAAAAAAAAAACACGAAAAACCCCAGCAACACTAACAACAGAGAAAGAAACAAAGGTACACTCCACAGGGTGGGCGAGGGCTAGTGGGACCTCACAGTCCAGTAGGGGCGGACCCTGGGATGATAGAAGGATCTAGAGCTGGGAAGCCATGGAGTCCTGACCTCAGCGGCACCCAACTCAGCCCACCGTCGAGAGGGGGAGTGTCTGACCATACAAGGATTTTCGAGTGTCGCGGCCTCCAAAGGCCACTGGGAACCAGGGTCAAAACTATAAGGCAGATGAGGCTGCACAGGCCAGGGCCACTTACTTTGAGTTCTGCAAATCCCTGGGGACCTTTTTGGGGGGGGCGCACAGTGACCTTCACCTGTGCATTTTTCTCAGTTCTTGACTCACGGCTTCTTGTTTACTTGTCCTTGCCCCTATCTGTGTCACGTTGACCGAAGAAGTGATCCCAGAACCCCCGCCAAGGGTGGGGAACGGGAGGGAAGGGTAACAGGCGAGACAGGTGTGTTATACATAGGTCACCAGCACGGGCGACGGACGCCTAGCCCGTCCGCGGAGCGCTGCAGACCGTGCCTGGCACTTGCCCAGAGTTGGCTGCCAGGAGCAGGGAGCTGGGTGTTTGTCCTGGGCGGAGGGCTGTTTCCAGGGAACCAATCCTCCGGCTCTTCAGGGGAAAACCTCTTCACGGAGTGCACATGGAGGAGGTACGGCCGGGGCATGGAGAACAGCCAAGGCCCCACAGCGCGGCCCTGGAATGCAGGCTGTCCACACTCCCCATCCCAGGCAGATCACGTGATGAGACGGCTCCAGGGGGTGCCTGGGGACCTCAAACTTCTCCGGAATCATCAAGCAAGAAAGGAAGGGGAGATCTGAGGCGAGGGGTGGGGCAGAGCGCTCCGAGAGGCCCTGGGGAGGTGACGTTTGAGCCAGGAGAAGCAGAGATGAACTGGAGGAAGAACATGCCGGGGGTAGAACATAGCATGTGCAAAGGCCCTGCCTGAGGCACAAGGACTTTGACTTGTAGTACAGACAGATCAGCTGCAGAGAAGTGAACCAGGGACTGTGGTGGTGGAGATAAGGTCAGGGCATAATAGGGCCAGAGTGAAGAATTTCTATTTTGGCTTGAATGAACGTTAGTTCCATCCTCTTAGAAACCCATCTGCCATCAATCTCCCCAGTCTTAGTACCTGCGCTGCCAAAGTGAGCACACTCTGTCCGATCTTAACGCACCTCCAACTAGGAAGAAGGTATAGCAGCGCTGCCACGGGTGGGCTCCTTCCAAAGGGCTCCCTCCACCTTGCAGAGGTGGAGGACTAAGCCTCCTCCTGACAGCAGTGGCCTGGGTGGTGACGATCCTAGTCGCTATTTGTCACGGTGGACTCCCTCCAGCGATGAGCTGGTTCACACTAGGGAAAGGCTAGATCACGCCAGGATGTTCCTTGGAATTTCCTTGGTAATTTTACTTCAAAAAAAAAATCTCCTTCCAGTTTGGTCCTTGACCCCCGCATCTGCTGGTTTCTGGGTTAGTCGGGAGCCCCAAGGGCCTTGGGGCTGTGAAGCCCAGCGTGGTCCTCTGGGTCTGCCCCCTTCACCCCGATCACCCCTTTGTTTATAAAGTAGTATAACCCTCTCTGCCTCTCGGGCTGCCTCCAGCTGCCTCATCCTGCCATTTCCTGGGCATCCTCCCTCCTGGCAGAGGCGCAGGGGGTGAGAGCAAAAAGATACAAAGGGCCTAGAAATCCAGATTTCTTGCCCTGGCTGTGCTCCCAGGCCTCCTCCAAGCCCGGCAAAGGCCTGGTCTGCACCGCCCCAGCTGCCTGTGCTTGCTCTTGACCTGGATCCCCGCAGCTTGTCCCACGCCCATCCTCTCGGGCTGATCCTCGAGCGTCCCCGTTTTGGCCACTCCTCGGCCGTAGACCTGGCTGTTCAGACGTTCATCCAAGTACTTGCGCAGCGGCTTTTCCCTGGGAGGCAACTGTTACAGCAAAAAACCCAGCACTCTGATGATAGCATGGATCGCAGTTTTATTTCAAATGTGCAGGAAGGGAAGCCAAAGGAAGAGAGAGATAGAGCGAAGACACTGGTTCCAACAACAACCTCAGGGAGGGCTTTTCTGCTCAAACAAATGACTGTCTACGGTCGCTCCATCCGACTAAACTTTTTGCTAAAATGGAAATGGTCTTGTCCATTGTCTATGGCCAATAGCATAATACCACAGGCTGGGCACGTTCTGAAGAAAAGAGGTTTATTTTGGCTGAGGACACAAGGTCGAGGGGACTGTGGATGGGCCTCTTGCTAACAGAGTCCCCAAGAGGCCCAGGGTGCTGGGCAGAGAGAGACGGGGTGTGAGAGTTCTCCGTTCTCACAAAGCCACCAGGGTTCAGTCCCAGGGGCTCCATCCACTCTGATGACTTTGTCTCACACTAATCACCCCGCAAAGGCCTCACCCGAAACACCGTAGTTAAATCTCCTCCCTCTTAGCACCTCATGGTAAGAATTAAACGCCAGCGTTTGTTTTGGAGGGGACAGGGCAGCTACAGACCACAGTGGAAATGTCACCTGGGGCTCCCCGCGGTGGCCCCTAGCCCTTGAAATGTACGACCGAGAGTTGTAAATTCTTCACTTAATCATCATCAGTTAACATTTACATTTCCAAATGATTAACTTTTCAACTCTTTCTGCACACTATTTTCCGTTGCCTCGGCCTAGAGGAGAGGAAAGTTCTGGCACGGTGGAAGAAGAGGGGGTCAAGAAAAGTTTACCCTGAGTCACAGGGATGGGGGAGCTGGTGGAGCACCCGGACTCAGCCGGGCGGCCCTGACCCCGTGGGAGGCGGGGGGGTGCATGAGCAAGAAGCCGGGGGTGGGGGGCTCCCAGCAGCCCTCACTGCGCGGGTCCAGAGGAGCAGAGGGCAGAGGGAGGTGGCCCGGGTGACCGTCCCCAAGGAGACTGGTAGTGCCCCACGTTCCCCTCCAGAAGGACCCCGCTGACACCTCCAGAGGCATTGATTTTGGGGGACCCTCTCCCCAGTATCACACACCCTTGGTCCCCCTTTACAAAGATGGGGGCCCCAGGAACAAGTGTATCTACTTTCTTTTTTTTTTTTTTTTTTTTTTAAACAAAAAGCTGCTTGTTGGATTTTTCTGATGCTTAACCTGGCATGTACAAGCCTTCTCCAATTCAGAGAAAACCTAAAGGTATAAAAGAGGAAAGTTAAAAACCACCGGAAACCCCATCCCGCCCCAGCACCTGGCCTCCTGCGGGCAGTCGCAAAATGAATTTTTTTTTTTTGAAGCAGTACCTCCCTCAACATCCTGTTGATAAGCCTTTCTGACATTATTTTCCCACGAAAGTTAATTAAAAATCAAAAGAGCAGAAAACAACAACAATTAAAAAAAAAACCCAGCAAGTTTTTGAGCCCCCGTGGCAGGGAGGCCTGACCTCCCCGGAACCCTGCAGCAGGCCGGCGACGCCCCCGGGGATTTGCCCGCGGTGCCAGGTGGCCAGGGTGTGAACCTGGCTTCTCGCCGCCCACTGTACCACCCACCCAGACTCACCTCCTTCCACGGCTCACAGCAGTGAGGTCACGGTGGCAAGGGCGCCCCTGGCTCCTTTGGACCTGCCCTGTCCTTTCAGCGCTGTGTGACTGGGCAGTGGGCCAGGTTCTTGACCACCCTGGGTCTCCTCTTCCTCCCCGGTGAAAGACAGACGATAAGAGAAGTGGAGGAGGAGCAGATGGCCAGGCAACACCCAGCTGCCCTCATGATTACCTTGCTTACACATCCCACCTGCTTCCTCTGGCTTAGGCCTACCTAACAGCCAAGCTGTTTGCCTGGAGGACGGGCTAAGTCGGCTCCTTGGTCTTTGCTGCCCCCTGGCGGTCTGAACTGGCACCTTCCTCCATCCCAGCGGCCCCAGGGCCAGCCCCCATCAGGCACCAAATCCAGAAAACTTGGCCTGGGAGACGCCCTCGCGCCTGGTCCCGCCTGGCCTTCCTCTGGCTGTTTCTCCACAACCCCTCCAGCACCTGGAAACAGAGTCTGATGAACATGAGGCATCGGGGTGCTGTGTGGGGCCAGACCACCTCGTGGGCTCTGTGCTTGCATCCCCATCTGTAAAATGGGAGTGAGAATAACCATCGTATCTAGCTAGCTGAAGCACCAAATACGCTGCTACACACCAGCCTCTCGAATGCTGTCTGCACACGGCATGCTTTCAAAGCCCTCGCTGACACTTGGTGAGGCATGAACCCGGTGCTCACCGGGTCCGTGGGCGGTGGGGGAAGTGTATCAAAACCACAATTAAAGGAAATAACGACATCCTCAATTTAATGGTACTTTACTGTAAAAAGGAGAGATTATTGTAAAAAGGACAGAACAGAACAAAACAACAGACCTTCAAGGCAGAAGTGGTCCTGATGGCCTCCTCCCAAGGACCTGCGTCTGCACCCCTCCCGCCTACGCCGGCTGAGTGCAGTGACCGTCTGCAAACCTGCAGCTTCACGTCACACACTTGTCACCCTGGGGCCACCCACAGTGTCTGCGGGGAGCCGGGTCCCGGACCCCCGGGTAGCCACAGTCACGGACACTCACAGCCCTTGCGTGAAACAGCAGTGTTCGCACGTAACTGGCACACGTCCCCCTGCACGTGTAGCGCCTGCCTCGA